GTTTTATTGTGACTTGCTGTTAAGTTTTGATATATTTGCTAGCTAGTAATTTGGTGAAATTAGAATTTCTCTATGTCATAGTCTAATTTTCAAAATAGAATAAAATGAACCCCCGACAAGCAATTAATGTTTAATGAAGCAAAACATTCCTAACACATTGCTCCGTTTTTTATACATTTGTTAATGTGAAAGAAATATTTAGGTGCCATTTTTAATTTTATGAATCAATACAACGTCGAACTGACAATTTTGCTATGATGCGAAAAAATTTCAACCTAATAAATTTGAAATTTTAATCCCGTATTTGCAAGTGTCAACGTCAAATACGTTGGGGATTTTTTTGATCTTTTGATGCAGCACGATCTAAAATTAAACGACGGCTTTTGCGCCATTTAGTGTGAAATATACCAGACCAAGCTGCAATGGAATAAAATTTATCGTGATTGATAACCACTTTAGCTTCTCATAGTGTTTTATCAAATCTATTTAACTAATTTACTAAGAAATTTTATTAAATTAAAAAATATATATTAGCTCTTATACCAAATTAAACCATGCATTTTGTTTAACCTTAACAATTATATTCATATCCACCATTATGATAGACACAATCTTTGAAAATGTCTAATTTGCACCTCATTTGTTAATTTAATGGTTTGTTAAATTAGCTAAATGTAAACTGTCATTATATTTATTATTTAATTTCCATACGCATTTTGTCCCCCATGGAAACAACTTTTTATTACAATTTTATTCCAATGAAACCGATGAAGATTTTTTAGACGAGCCTTACAACCAATCACCCTGCGCCATGTTGAAAATGACTTGAAGAAATACAGACTCACTTCAACAAATTTAATTTTCGTGTTCATTCTCTTAATTTTTGAAAAATGTTAATAATCTGGAATGCGACAATTTCACAGTTTGTGTAGAAATCTTTTTACCGAACACCTGAGAGATCTAAGACGCTTGTTGTTGTAGTTTCCTTTATCCGTTTCTATTTCCCTTGTTTGCTTTTCTTAATTAAGGCCCAGTTCATAATAACTAAACGTACTTATTCAAACAAAATGTCTAGCATGACGTAAAAAATGTATTTATATTTTAAATGGTTTAGAATTACATATCATACCACAGGATTAATTTATTAAATTTAATTTGTTACTTAGTAACTAAGATACCGTCAGTTAAAGCTTAGGGTGACCTTATTTTATTTACTTATTTAGTTATTGACAATTTAGGTTGTACACAGTCCAAAGTACCAAAAAAGCATCCACGTTTTATCTTACAAAGAAAGATCACAAGTAAATCTAAATTTTAGCAATTATCAGCACAAAATTAATACCATTAAGACAATTTTATATTTGAATTAAGATATCGTATTATATCCTAGAAAATAATTATGAAAATTAAATATATTTGGAAAGTTCTGTCCGTCCTATGTTCAATATCAAATACATCCCTTGCGTTCTGCCTTTATATTGTTAGGTTAATTTTTGATAAGAGGGGATTCAGCTTGACCCTTCAAGACTATCTGGAGCAGTTAGCGTTGTTTTGCTTTGGAGAGTAAGAACTTTAAATGTTGATCGAATATTTTTTGTAAAATATCTTTTGTCTCTGTTATAATTAGGATTCCAAATGACTGACCCGAGAGAAATTTTACTACAAACAAACGCAAGAGGAGATTTGGAGTTTGGGAGTTTCTTTTTATTTACATCTATTTATTTATTTATTTATAATTATTTACATTTAAGTTTTGACATACTTCAATGATGTTCTTATGTGAAAAATCGTTCGCTTACCTTTTATTTTTATTTATTTTCAAGTCTTGCATAGGAATTGCATAGGAATGCGCTAAGTTTGGTTGTGTTTAACTGTGTAGGGAATTGAGACATTGTTTCCTCTTTTGTCTCCAATAAAACTCCAGAATTTTTTGAGTTTCCGAAAATGTTCGCCTATATTTATTACAATGTATTACAAAGTTCGTAATTTACGAAAACGATCATACGCCTTTATATTTTTTATGAAATTGTTTTTTTTTATTACTGACAATTTTTAAAAACTAAAATAGACAGGAAACTTGCGAATTGCTAAATTATATTCTAGAATTCTGTCCATTATGGTCTAAAATTGATCTGTCAGTGTATCCACATGGCCACCTGTAAAAAGCTTAAAAGCAAAAAACAAACCAGAGGAACCTTAAAACTTTTGGTTGGCATTTTCAACAAACAGGTAATTCACTGATTCATGTAAATTTGCTACACTATCTCTGTTGCATAGAATTAAAGCCAGTATCTTGAAAATACCGACGCATTATCTCTGAGAATTTATTCCGGAATTGAATTGGTTAGTTGGTTGGTTGGTTAGACATGTTGAAATCGCCAATAAACAGGACATAGCAGTAAAGTAGAATCTCTTCGTATAATGAAAATGCTGCCATTGGGTAATTACATCCCTGTGGGATGTAAGTACAACGGTTGATTGCATTATCTCTGAATGGTTGTCTTGACAGCAATTACGCAACCTCCTCCATCTTGTTTGTTGACCTTGTTGTTCATCGTTAATTCGATACAAAAAACGTTCGGTAAACCCAAAACAAAGGGAACATAAAACGATACCGTCATATCGTATTATTTTACCGTGAATAAAATTAACTCAAAAATAACTTCACTGCCCCCAGAATTGGCAACTAAAATGTTAAAAACAGGAAAATCGCCGGTAATTCAACCGAAATAGGGTTTCACGTGAAAACTCCGGTAAAACTCGCTCGCTTTACACACACAACCGGATATTTTTGTTTCGAAATTTTCTGTTCCTTTAAATATGCATATCCGTAATTCAGTTAACTCCGTCCAAATTCGTTAGGCAACTATTAAATAATTAACCTTAAACGGTTTTTCACTTTTTTTGTGTGGTCGACGGCGAAAAGACGCTAGTCGATTTCCATGGAAATATTGTCGGGAGATTTCACAGTCATTTTACCTCTACTTACAATTTTAATGCTGTTTTTCTATAAATTAAAGCGTAATAAATTATCGGCTAGCGTTTTGGACGAAATGCTTATTCATGTTTGAATTAACTGTGTGGGTATTCCGAGAATAATTACAATGTAAACTATAAAAAGAAATCTAAAAATTAGTATTCAAATAATATACAAGGTGGATCCAAAAGTAGATGTCGATACTAAGTTCCTTCCTATAGGCATCTGTTACATTTTATGAACAAAAGAATACGAAACAAATATTTGATTTTAAAACGAAACCAGTAAAGTTTGCAAATACAAAATACAAAAAAAAAGTTCGAATTGGAGTACAAATAATCCGCGACGGATGAGATCGAATCATACATCCACAAAAAATAAAAATTTGGACCGGGATTTTCATTAACAAAATTACTGAACCTGATTGCTTTGATCAAAATCTTATTGGAACCCGGTATATAGAATTTCTTCAAAATAACTTTCTCGCAGTTTCTTTTCCAAACCCAAATCAGCGTGCTATGTCAGATAGACAGATTTGGTTTCAACAAGATAGTACGGTATTTCCCGAAGAGTGAATTAGTAAGATCAAAATCTCTAGATATTACTCCACCGGATTTTTTTTCTCTGTGGATATTGAAAATCATAAAAAAACAAAAAATTTAGATTATTTAAAATTTCGAATTAGATACGAAATAAAGGAAATTAATTATGCAGGTTAAAGAGTATACCACACGAATTATGCCTGAAATTTAACCAAGAATGCAAAAATGGATTTTAAAAAATGTTCCAAATAAAAAAAAACTACCCCGTATATTTTCTATTGATTTCAAAATTTGCGCAAGACCAAAATTATGATGGGCGTGTGGGAGATTTTTTTCTTATAGAATATGTTTTTATCTTTTGTCTTCAAATAATTGTTTTTGGAAGCCTATTTGCTTATCTAGTTGCCATAAGGTTGGGTGAGATTAGGAAAATAGGTTAAGTTATGAAATTAAGCTTCAACTTAGCATTTTGTAATTTTACTTTGCAATGGAATTATTATTATTAATATAATTTTTATTATTATATCGACCGAAATTTCAAAAATAATTTAAATCAGTAAGAACCTAATGTTAATATATTTCCAAAATCAAGATTATTTCTACTTCTACGTTCGACACAAGTTTTTATGTAATTTTCCTTTTAGCACATTTTGCAAAGTTTAAAAATTACACTTAGTTTCATTAAATTCTAAACCCAGAACAAACACTACTTAAAATATCTACAAAGAAATTTATTCATTTGTTTTTCCTTTTTAGTCAAAATATCTGGCATAATACGGACACTATTGTTATATTTTTATGAAATTATACTGTGGTATTTTTTTAAAAGTCTAAAAATAATTGAGCTTATACTTGTAAAGTCCTTGCAATTGTTAAAAATTAATAATACTGGTAATAATAATACGCATTTTTCTGTGTCTCATTAATATTTCGCATTGATAAAAAAAATATCTTCAAAACTACTGTTATCAAAAATAAACAAGCGAGAAAAAATTATGCAAGTAAGAGTCTTAAAGCCAGAACGGTACATCGGTGGGGGTATAGGGTGTCTCCTTTTTTGCTAGTATGCCGTTTTTATCCAGAAAATTTACGTGAAAACTGTAACCTAACATCATACATACAAAGTTTCAACAAAATATGTAAAACGCCCTCTATTATAGATATTGACAGCGAAAATTTAAAATGTTCCAATATTTTCACATAACGCGTATATCATTAACCCAATAAACAAATTTTTCGTTTGACTTTTGATAGGTAGTTAAGTAGTTTAAAGCTCCATCCCTAAAAACTTATCTAGGCGTATTTTGCGGGATAACGGTCCACTTGTGTGTGTTCCCGTTCACGTTCCCGTGTGCCCTACGGGAGGGTTTTATAGATTTCTACGCCACATCACGGGAACCGGTCCTCCCTAAAAACTCCCGTTGCACCTACCTTACGAAAAGGCAATATATCAGTGTCATATAATTCTTTTCTTGTTTCAGCGTGGTCGGGAGCAAAAATTTTACCGTACAGAAAGTGAACACCACGTCCAACGATCCTTCCTTTTACGTGAAAGGTTTGAGACCTTACACAGTTTATAGCTTCCAGATAATAGCCTGGAACGCACTTGGTTCGAGCAATCCCAGCAAACCATCCTTCTTTATGGTCACTTTACGAGAATGTAAGTAATTTGTTTTTACTTTTGAACTGCGAGCTCTGTACTTGTTAATATTTTTGCTGTCTGCTGTTTTTATGTCGCCGTATAAAAGAAATACCTCGTTTTCTCACTACTAACTCTCTAAATCAAAATATAGTAATTGTTTGGTATCATATAGTTAGCTTACTAAACTCTAAAGTAAAAGTAAAGTAAAGTATCTCAAATTGATTAATTATAAGTATATTGCTTTAAAAATCTACTGCCAAGCAACTTTTTAAATGCTTTCTATTATTTGCAAGAGACTCACAACTTTCTAAAAAAAATGTTTCTTACAACTTATAAAGAAATAACTGAAAATAATCCAAATAATAATAATAATAATAATAATAATAATAATAATAATAATAATAATAATAAATCAGAGGAGCTTTTTCTATTAAATTCATTTTCTCTTTATAATACTCTTTTCTAATATTTTTCGTCTCATTTTTATGATGAATCTTACATTCTAAATGTAGGCAGCATAAATAAAATAAATATATTTTTAATAATATAGATCACTGTGTAGCTATTATTTGTTACTACGCTAAACATGAAACCCAAAATAGAATATAATAATGCATATGATTCCTTATTTTAAGTTTAACTCAATTTTAAGAAAAAGAGTTATTTTTTTTTACTTATATATGTTATGTTATTTAAATTTACTTTATCCTGAAAGTATAAAAATTAATGTATCCGAATTGTACAGAGTCAACAATAGAGTAAAGTTTATAATCTCATTAGTTTGAAAAATTTTGCGAAAATGGTAAACACAAAAATTGTCGGGATGCAAAATTTACAATTATTTTAAAGTATACAGGGTGGCTCAAAAAAGCGTGACGAATTAAACATACATTTTTTTAAATTAAATTTTAACCCTATTTTGAAATCTTGTTTTGAATTCGTTTTGAAATTATTCAACTTTTTTGTTAATAATAATATATACCTAAACCTCATAGTTTTTTAAAGGCCGTCGTCGGTTGGAATTACTTCCTAACGTTTCGCTAGCACAAGTGGAGAGCTGCTTCAGAGGTCCTTCCATCTCCGATGTTGGACGTAGACTGACGATTTCTCCTGCGCAGCTTGTATTTATGCCGACTGGTGGTGGGCGAGGCTTGTTCGAACGCAGAACCCAAGTCTAACCTGACGAGAAGTGAAGGACTGGCACTGCGTAGCCTGAACACGGATGAGGGTATCATCATACTCCCAGCGGACAAAGGAAACGCAACCGTTCTTCTGAAGACCGAGGACTACGAAAGGAAGATTGAGGAACTCTTGGACCCAGGAAGCTACAAACCCCTGAAAAAGGATCCGACGCAAGCTAGACTACGTCTTACCAATCGGCTCATCAAGTCATCATCACTGTCAGAAGAAATCAAGAAGCGCATTGTGAGGACGGAGACTGTTCCACCAAGGCTCTATGGACTACCTAAGATACACAAAGTAGATGTCCCGTTAAGACCAATAGTTAGCGCACCCGGATCACCAACGTATTACTTGGCTAAACACTTGGCATCGCTGCTCCAACCACACGTAGGACACGTCACCAGTTACATCAAGGACTCCACCGACTTCGTGCGCAAGATTCAAGATATCAATATTGAACAAAACGACATCCTTGTGAGCTTCGACATCGTCTCACTGTTTACGAAAGTACCTCTGAAGAGTTGCTTGGACCTGGTGAACAGGATATTTCCTGTCGATATTTGCAAACTTTTTGAAGTCTGTCTGACCGGTAGCTATTTCGTGGTGAAGGGAAACTTCTACGAACAGGTGGTCGGAGTGGCAATGGGAAGTCCATTAAGCCCGGTTATAGCCAACTTATTTATGGAACACTTTGAGGAAAAAGCGATCGAAACCTCAGAGTACAAGCCAGCAACGTGGTTCCGGTACGTGGATGATCCCTTCGTGATTTGGAAACATGGTATGGACAAGCTCAACAACTTTCTGCATCAACTCAACAGTCAGCATCCCAGCATCCAGTTTACTATGGAGACTGAAAATGACCAACAACTTGCATTCTTAGACGTACTAGTGAGGAAGCGAGGTAACAAGCTGGGGCACACAGTGTACAGAAAACCAACCCATACGGACAGATACCTGCATGCTCTATCCAACCATCACCCAAGTCAAAAGTATGGGGTTATCAGAACCCTGACAGAACGAGCCCGAAGAATTTGTGAACCGGAGAACCTCCAGATGGAACTTGAACACCTGAAAACTGCGTTCGAGGTAAATGGCTACAGCAAGAGGGAGATTGAGAGATCAATGAACTCAAGATCATCAAGAGCACGGGATACCGAACAACGACCCTCCACCTCCCACGCATATCTGCCGTATATTCCGAGTGTCACTGGGCAGCGGGGAACACAGGATACACTTTGAGAGCTGTAAGTTACTAGCATCGGTCAACGGCTATCACAACAGGCTAGTCAGGGAAGCCATTGAGATACAAAAACACCCACACAATTTCAACAGAAAGGAGGAGACCCTTAGACTCAACCAAATCTGGAACCCGATCCTTAGGAACGCCCGAGCAGTACGGATCGATATCCCGAGACCAACCGAAGCGGAACAAGCCCCGCCCACCACCAATGGGCATAAATACAACCTGCGCAGGAGAAATCGTCAGTCTACGTCCAACATCGGAGATGGAAGGACGTCTGAAGAAGCTCGCCACTCGTGCTAGCGAAACGTTAGGAAGTAATTCCAAGCGACGACGGCCTTTAAACCCGAAACAAGATAATAGCTTATCAACGGGCCGCGAAAGCCTTAACCAATTATTTTTTCTGATAGATCTTACAAAGACCTACAACTTTTATTAAGTATACAATATACTCATTTTTAATCCTTGCGATTTATTTTAATTTGTCCTTAAGTTCTTCTTTCTGTCAATTTAAAACGCTCTAAATATATTCGTTTATTTTAAACACCCTGTAGCACCTAATTCAAATTCCATTGCATATGTATTTTACGTCATATACGGATATCAAAAATATGAGTGATTTATCTAACCGTTAAAAATATTGGCGCTATCGTATCTTTTTGGCCAGTGTTATATTAGTATTTTTAGAAAAAATAAAATATTTTAAAAACTATTAGCTTTTAGCTTTAGGTATGTATTTTTATTAATAAAAAAGTTTCCAAAATATATTTATATCCTCACGCTTTTTCAGCCACCCTGTACACGCTAAAACAATTTTAAATTATGCATCCTAACAATCCTTGCAGCTTTTCTGTTTACCGTTTTTGAAACCAACTTTTGAAACCAATGAGATAGTGAACTTTATTGCTGACTCTCTCGGTACCTATCAGTTAATTTTTAATTTATTGCTCTCTTATTAGAAATTTAATTCACTGCAAAATATATCAAAATGCAGTTTCTTCAAGCATCTTGTTGCCGGGTCTCGATTATCACCAATCGACGAATCTTTTTATGGTTTGCCAGCTTTTGTGCAAACATTGATTTACAAATTGAACCACAGCCATTGATTTAAGCCCAGATTATAATTACCCTTGTTCAATCACTGAACCCTTTAAATATGAAAGATTCTATTAAATGTTTATCTGCAAAATGCACCACCATAGGATCCTGAGAGTTTAAACGAATATTTTATAGGCTCCAATAAACCTACGCATTTACGCCCGTTTTGCTATACGCTGAACCAATAGACTTTTAATTTTAACCTGACGAACTTTTTTACTTTCTAGTAATTTTCTTTTTGTATAATTTTAGAAATATGAGTATTGAAACAACACCCGAGTTTTTGAATTTTGACACTATTGATTGAAACGTCAACCAGCTCGCTAGCCCAGTCTTTAAAAGGTCCGAAGTAATGGCCGACCTATTTGCAATCTTTTCTAAAATTTTATTTAACTTCTTTAAAACTTCACCAGCCTCAGATCTTGTTAAACCTGTATATTACTGGGTGTCATCAGCGTACTGTTATGTATGTTACACTGCTCAATGTTATCAAATATATCCGAAGTGAAGATAACAAATAACAAAGGCCCCAGAAAAGAACCTTGAGGTACACCTCTGTCCAACACTAATACGTATCAGCAAAGGCGAAGCAAAAAATCATATTGTTCACACCCATTATAACATTCAATCATAGCAACCAGCTAAATAAACGTTTTTATAGCTGACAAGGTGTAGGTCGCATTTTTTTTCAACTCCCTTTGAGTTATCTACTTACAAGTCTTTATCCCAACGCCATTTTCCCGTTTTCAGATAATATGAAAAGCGCGGACTTCAAATTGGCTCAATAATTCTAAATCATTCGCGCGTTCACGCAAATAAAAGAGAAGTAGAATTATTGTAAATTAATATTCCGATTCTCCCAAAAAAAACGAAAAATTTCTGTGCCCCGTTGGGCACCATCACTGAATTGTTTAATTAATACATTTCTAAGAAAACTCAATCAATCAATCATAGTTAATTAAACTATTTATTTATAATGCCATGTCTGTATATCCAGTAAATTTAAAACACATTTTGATCAAATTTGACTAGTCAATTAAGAACACCCTTGTGAAATCTTTGTTTATGGTTCAATTTTGATAATTTTTTTGCTGATATATTTCTTAAAAATACACTTAAACATTGTTTTGCTTATTGCTTCAACCTAAAGTCTTGATGAGCCTAGTTGATATTTTTCGTCCGGTCTCTGCAATGTATTCTTTGCCGCATTGCATGGAATGCATGAATAAATGAATATCAACTAGGCTCAAAGAACATGAAAGAGGCTTAAGACTAACACAAATAAACTCATCAGCAGTTGCCCAAAAAAAAACAATGACGAAATCCGACATTAAGTTTTATTCGATAAAACTAAAATTATTGCCAACGAAAAATCCTAGAGTCTATAGAAATCTAACATTGAACTGAGGAGGCTTTTACTTGATAAAAATCCAAATCCAAATGATATTTGATAAAGACACGGTGTTGTCGAAACAATTGTCATGTCAAAATATATAAT